GAGTTCATTCCCGGTTTTTGGGTGATTTTCCCGGAGTTAATTCCCGGTTATTTGGGTGATTTTCCCGGAGTTCATTCCCGGTTGTTTTTGGGTGTTTTCCCGGAGCTCATTCCCGGTTTTTTGGGTGTTTTCCCTGGAGTACATTCCCGGTTGTTTTTGGGTGTTTTTCCCGGAGTTCATTCCCGGTTTTTGGGTGTCTTTCCCAGAATTAATTCCCGTTTTCCCGCTGCAGGGGCGGATGCTGCTGAGGATGAGGAGGTGGACGTGACCAGCGTGGATCCCATCGCCGCCTTCTGCAGCAGGTGCCAGGCCCTGGAGCCAGTTCATTAACACTGACCCAGAAACTCCTTAATGAGCACTAATTAACCTTCGCAGAGCGTTCCCTTTGCAAACCCAGCATTCCCTTTGGAACCACAGAATTCCCTTTAGAAACCACAAAATTCCTGTTATAAATCCCAACATCCCTCTTAAACATTCCCTTCATAAAACCCAGAATTCCCTTTGGAAAACTCAACATTCCCTTTAAACATTCCCTTTATAAACCCCAAAATTCCCTTTATAAACCCCAAGATTCCCTTTGGAAAACCCAACATTCCCTTTTTAATGTTCCCTTTATAAAATCCAACCTTCCCTTTAAACATTCCCTTTATAAAACCCAAAGTTCCCTTTAGAAACCCCAACATTCCCTTTATAAAACCAAACATTCCCTTTGGACATTCCTTTAGAAACCACAAAATTCCTGGTATAAATCCCAACACTCCCTTTAAACATTCCCATTATACCACCCAAAATTCCGTTTAGAAAACTCTGCATTCCCTTTAAATGTTCCCTCCATAAAACCGTAAAATTCACATTATAAACCACAGAATTCCTGTTATAAATCCCAACATTCCCTTCATAAACCACAAAATCCCCATCCCAAACCTTGTTCAAAACCCCAAAATCCCCATCCCAAGCCTGTTCTAAACCCAAAAATTCCCATCCCAACTCCCAAAATCCCCATCCCAACCCCCACAAACCCCTTTAAAAAACCCAAAATCCCTATCCCAAACCTTTTTCCAATCCCAAAAATCCCTGTCCCAAACCCCAAAATCCCCATCCCAAAATGCCATCCCAAACCTGTCCCAACCCCCAAAACCCCAACCTAAACCCCACCCCAACCTCCAAAATCCCCATCCCAAACCCCAAAATCCTTGT